AGCAAACATATGAAAAAATGCTCATCACTGGTCATTAGAGAAATGCAAATCAAAACCACATTGAGATACCATCTCACACCAGTTAGAACGGTGATCATTAAAAAATCTGGAGACAACAGATGCTGGAGAGGATGTGGAGAAACAGGAACACTTTTACACTGTTGGTGGGAGTATAAATTAGTTCAACCATTGTGGAAGACAGTGTGGCAATTCCTCAAGGACCTAGAAATAGAAATACCATTGGACCCAGCAATTCCATTACTGGGTATATACCCAAAGAACTATAAATTATTCTATCATAAAGACACATGCACATGTATGTTCATTGTGGCACTGTTTACAATAGCAAAGACCTGGAACCAACCCAAATGTCCATCATCGATAGACTGGATAAAGAAAATGTGGCACATATACAACATGGAATACTATGCAGCCATAAAAAACGATGAGTTCGTGTCCTTCATAGGGACATGAATGAATCTGGAAACCATCATTCTCAGCAAACTGACACAAGAACAGAAAACCAAACACTGTACCTTATCACTGATAGGCAGGTGTTGAACAATTAGAACACGTGGATACAGGGAGGGGAGCATCACACTGTGGTCAGTGGTGGGGGGTAGGGGAGGAACAGTGGGGGTGAGGAGGGATAATAAAAGAAGAAATAACAGATATAGGTGAAGTGAGGATGAAGGCAGCAAACCACCATGCCATGTATGTACCTATGCAACAATCCTGCATGATGTGCACATATACTCCAGAACCTAAATTACAATTAAAAAAAATAAAAGCAATTAAGATAATTCAATATACATATGCCTTTATAATGCTTTGCTTTACCATGGTTCACAGATACTTATTACAAATTGAAAAAAGTCCAGAGATGCCGTTTTTCCAACAGAATTTCTTCATTTTGATCTCTCTCACATTTCAGTAATTCTTGCAGTGTTTCAACCTTTTTCATTATTGTTACATCTATTGTTATAGTGACCTATGTTCAGTGATCTTTGATGTCAATAATGTAGTAACAGTTTTGAGGCACTATGAACCACACCCTTATAAGACAGGAACTTAATAAATGTGTGTGTTCTGATTACTCCATAAAGCAGCAGTTCCCCCATTTCTCTCCCTCTCTGTGGGTCTCCCTATTCCATGAGATGCAACAAGACTGAAATTAGGCCATTTAATAACTTTATCATGGCCTTTAAATGTTTAACACACATCTCTCACTTTAAATAAAAAACTAGAAATGATTAAACTTAGGAAGGAAGGCATATCAAAAGGCCAAGACAGGCTGAAAGTTGACCTCTTGCACTAAAGAATGAGAAGGAAAAGTTCTTAAAGGAAATTACAAGTGAACCCATGACTGATAAGAAAGCAAAACCGACTTATTGTTAATATGGAGACGGAGTGGTCTAGATAATCAGTCACGACACTTCCTTAAGCCAAAACTTAATCCAAACCATGGCCTTAAATCTCTTCAAGTGTATGAAAGCAGAGAGAAATCAGAAAACTACAAAAGTTGGAAGCTAGCAGAGGTTGGTTCACGAAGTTTAAAAAAAGAAGCCATCTCTATAACATAAAAGCACAAAGTGAAGCCACAAGTGCTGATGTATTATAGAAGCTGGAGCAAGTTATTAATATCTAGAAGATCTAGCTAAGATTATAAAGGCAACTACACTAAACAGATTTTCAATGTAGATAAAACAGTCCAATAGACTTCTATTGGAAGAAGGTGCCATCTAGAACTTTCATAGCTATAGAGAAGTCAATGCCTGGCTTCAAAGCTTCAAAAGATAGTGTGACTCTCTTGTAAGCAGCTAATGCAGCTGGTAACTTTAAGTGGAAGTCATGCTAATTTACTGTTTTTCAATTAGTCAATGCTAATTTACTATTCTGAAAAATCCTAGGGCCCTTAAGAATTAAGTTGAATCTACTCTGCCTGTGCTCTACAAATGGAGTAACAAAGCCTAGATGATAGCACATCTGTGTACAGAATGGTTTAATGAAAATTTTATGTCCATTGTTGAGACCTACTGCTCAGAAAAATAAGAAGATTTCTTTCAAAATATTACTGCTCATTTACAATGTACCTGGTCAACCAAGAGCTCTGATGGAAAAATACAGGGAGATAATGTTTTCATGCCTGCTAACACATATTCATTTTGCAGCCTATGGATCAAGGAGTCATTTAGACTTTCAAGAAAGTCTTATTTAAAAAACACATTTTGTAAGGCTATAGTTGCTATAGACAGTATTTCCTCTAACAAACCTGGGCAAAGTTAATTTTAAAACCTTCTGGAAAGGATTCACCATTCTAGATGCCATTCAAGATTCTTGGGAAGCAATCAAAATATCAACATTAACAAGAGTTAGGAAGAAGTTGATTCCACCCCTCATGGATGATATGGAGGGTTAAAGATTTCAGAAGTAGTAGTAACTGCAGGTGTGGTAGACATAGCAAGAGAACTAGAATTAGAAGTAGAGCCTGAAGCTGTGCCTGTACTACAATCTCATGATAAAACTTGAATGGATGAGAAATTGCTTCTCATGTGAAAGGAAGAGCCCATCGATGCAGCAAACTTCACTGTCTTATTTTAAGAAATTGCCACAATTGCACCAACCTTCAGCAATCACCATCCTTATCAGCCAGCAGTCATCAACACTAAGGCAAGACCCTTTACTAGCAAACAGATTATAACTCACCAAAGGCTCAGATAGTAAAGCATTTTTAAGTTAAGGTATGTCCATTTTTAAAAAAAGAAATAATGCTATTGTACCTTAGCAGACTACAGTAGAGTGGAAACATAACTTTTATATGCACAGGGAAAGCAAAAAAAATTTGTGTAACTTGCTTTACTGTGACATTCACTTCATTGCAGTACTCTGGAACCAAACCTGCAATATCTCCAAGATATGCCTACAACCCTGCACAATCCAAAAGATGAGAGTGGAGAGATTTTTTTAAAACAAGATAATACAAAAAGAAAGGAGCAGAGAAAGGTAGAGATTTCAAGTTGAAACTTTACGACTACCTTATTAAACTTTATCCTTCCCTTATCTCATAGAAGAAAATTTTTCTTTCTATAGCAAATAAGATAAGCTCAGCAAAAGAAGGTTTTCAGTACAGTCTCTACACGTTTGAGTACAATTTCCTGTCCCTAGGTGATTACTTTTGCCCATTATCACTGGATCTTGCAATGGCAAAGAGGAAGCAGCAATTATTGGTTCAATAATCACCTCTAATAAAATGAAATGTAAATACAGTGATGTTTCTAGACAAATAAAAAGTCTATTAGAGAAATAAATACAGCCTTACACTTTCTTAAAGTACAGACAATACTTAAAGATCATATTAAGTAATATACTAAAAATACTAAAAGTAGTTTTTATATCCTCCATTAAAAGAAGCTTGACAAAAATTCTTTTGATTCCCTAGATCTTCCTATTTAGCAGGAAGGAACTTCTTGTCCTTCTCTGCTATGTTTTTAGTAGAGCAGAAGCCAAAAAACTCTGCACTGTTTACTTCCTTATTTGTCCAACAAATCATCAATGAGGTCAGAAGCAAACTGAACAACCCTGAAAGGAATGTTTATTAACTAACAGGGTTCCAGGCCAGTTTACTGGTAGCATTTTAAAGGTTTAGTAAGAGATTAGTTATCATATGTGTTTTATTTGTTTATACTCCAAAATAATACTCAATTTCAAACATACCAATCATTTATTTGCAAGTATCACCATCAATGAAGTAAGCAATAACAATGTACAAGGCTTAGAAGCAGATTTGTCATATTTTAAAAAGTGAAGCTCAAAGCAATTCATTTTAAGTTAACTTTAACTCAAAGAAGGCAGTATGGGTCTGGTCTTTTTTTTAAGTTACCCAATATCTGATAAATATGAGTACCTAATAATAGATGATGATAACAGTGATAAAATGAAAATAATGAAAGCAAACCACTGAAAAATCTATTATTTCCCATTTCTTTCTATAAAGGATACACCTAATTCAATTCCTCAAGTTTTATATTGTGCAACTATTCTATTCTTTGTCACTATGAAAGTTTCTGTGAAGATTTAAAAAAAAAAAAAGGCACACTATAAGCAAGAGGCCCTTTTTATTTTAAATAACAAAACACACCAGACCTTAAATATTCAAATGTTACCCTCCAAAGCTACTACCCTAGGAGATTAATACACATGTTCAAATATTCACATTTCCAGATTACAGGCCACACAAGAAAATTGGCAATTATATGGCATTTACACCACAAGGAAGTTGTTTTCTTTTTTTTTTTTGAGACGGAGTTTCGCTCTTGTTACCCAGGCTGGAATGCAATGGTGCAATCTCGGCTCACCGCAACCTCCGCCTCCTGGGTTCAGGCAATTCTCCTGCCTCAGCTTCCTGAGTAGCTGGGATTACAGGCACGCGCCACCGTGCCCAGCTAATTTTTTGTAATTTTTAGTAGAGACGGGGTTTCACCATGTTGACCAGGATGGTCTCGATCTGTTGACCTCGTGATCCACCCGCCTCGGCCTCCCAAAGTGCTGGGATTACAGGCTTGAGCCACTGCGCCCGGCCTGGAAGTTGTTTTCAATACAAATCTTTTTGTTCATTATATATAATTGTTTAGTGATAATATTTTTAATTTAGCTAGCCCCCCTTCTCAAAATTACACTGTTAATGAATATTGGCTATCAATATCAAAATAGTATTTCTAACATGATTTAATGTTAGTTAATATCATTTGTAAGTGCATGGTTTCCCAAGATGATAACTTAAATTTATATGTGAGTTCAACTACATTTCATTTTTTTAGTCTCATTACATTATGGATCTATCTTACACGAAAGAAGTCCCTAATCCAAAGAGATAACAATCTTTAGCTGAGTAAAAAAAAGGAAAAAAATTAGAGTAATAACTGGCATAAGCCTATATTCTTTTTGAGAAAGTTTCCTGTATGTACTTGAAATTAACCTAATAACCAATCTAAGTTTCATACCATTTACAGCTTTTTCAATCAACTCTTCGCAAGCATCAAAATCACCCTTCAACACCAGCTTGTCATGAATATCCGTTAACATGGGATGTTCCAGGGCAATCCTGGTTTTCTTTTGTAGTGACTCAAAAGCTTCTGTATAGTTGTGTTGTCTAAAGTGTTTTAGGCAAAGGCGAATAGCTTCCTGTTCACGGTACTACTAGAACACAAGAGTAAGTATGAAAAGAAGAGATTTGGTTAGATGATACTGTAGGAAATAATAACAAGAGTAAAAACAACTAATCTACCCTGAGCATTTATTAATACTATGTGCCAAGCAGTGTACTAACCTGATTCATTACACATCATTATTTGGCTTGTTTAATGAGCAAAACTAAAGCTTGGCCTGTTGCAATAACTTGCCCAAGGTCACAAAGTATGTAGCCAAAAGTGATTAAACCAAAGCTAATCCCAGAGCCTCAACTTTGAAGAAAAGAAGCAGAATATCTATTTCTTAAACTCCACTTAAGATTGTAAAAATTATAACTCCTATAGCATCTATTAATCCCATTATAATGCAGGTACTGGGGGCACCAAAAAACATTAAATAATCCACATAAAGTATATTATGCTTTCTACTTTTGGTTTTTTTTTTAAAAAACTATTACTTGAATGACAAGTATTACCAAGTATACAGGTATTTCAAATTTACAAACAGATATTATGACTCAAAAATCATCAAAAAGAGACTAAATTTAATCATTTTCTTTCGAGGTTTTTTGTTTTTGTTTTTGTTTTTGTTTTTTGAGACAGGGTCTTGCTCCATCTCCCAGGCTGGAGTGCAGTGACACAATCTCAGCTCACTGCAACCTCCACCTACCTCTGGGATTCAAGCAATTCTTCTGCCTCAGCCTCCTGAGTAGCTGGGGTTACAGGCACACCTTACCATGCCCAGCTAATTTTTGTATTTTTAGTAGACATGGGGTTTTACCATGTTGGTCAGAATAGTCTCGAACTCCTGACCTCATGATCCACCTGCTGAGGACTCCCAAAGTCCTGGGATTACAGGCATAAGCCATTGCACCCAGCCCAATTTAACTGTTTTCTAAACCTGAACTACCTTATCTCTTAGGCAGCTATAAATTAGACAACATCTCAATTAACTGGAATCCAAAAGATAGGCACTTAGTTTATTAAAATTTTCCCCTAATAGGATAGATGCCAAAAATACAATCTTATAAAAAGGATTTTTAAAAAAGATCTCAACTTCAAGAATATGTTCTGGGATTACCCCAAAAATCCTAAGTATAGCACTATACAAACAAACAGATGACATGGAAATCTACATGATAATCAAACAACAATGACTTACTTATAAGCATTATTATTACCCTTTAATAAGGCAAGAAAATAAAGTAATGAGTTTAGGAAGATATATTTGAAACACAAATCAGTGATTCTATAGCTATTTTTACATGAATAGTTTCTTACTCTTGGCCTGTAAAAAAGATTTATCTACATAACTACTATGTAACAACATCTACTATAGTTATATTAAACAGCAGTATCTTTTAACCCTGTTGATTAGTTTAAATCACATCCACATCTTAAATTTTCCATTATGGTGCAAAACTATCCCGCCAAAAACTATGTTTTAAGTATTCATATCAATACAAGCAAAAAAACAAAATTCAGAGTCAAATGGAAATAATAATATAAAAGCAAACTGTGGAGTCCAATTGCCTGAGTTCATATATTGGCTTATACACTTTACAACTGTGTGACCCTAGGCAAACTATTTAATCTTTCTGTGCTTCATTTCTCCATCTATAAACTAATGTACCTGTCTATAATTTCATTTATACCTTCATTTCTCCATCTATAAACTAATGTACCATCTATAATCACTGTATCTGTCTCATAGAGTGATAATGATTAAATGAGTGATGAGGATTGCTTAAAAGCTGGCAGACTGGAAGTGCTTAATTAAATGTTAGCTTATTATTATTATTTTAAATATTTTTAATTATTCTCAATGAAGACAAGAGCTTGACACCACTCTCCTTTTATAGGCATTAAAGTCAGGATTTAAAATACAGTCCTACCTTGCTATACCAGTTGAGACAAGGTTGTACTACATCAGGATCATCAATGCCACTAAGTTCAACATACCAGATGCTAAAGTTAAAGCTGGGTCCCCAGGACAAGAGTGGAACTTTAAGAAGAAAAAAACAAAAAGAAGAAGAAAAATATTAACACAGTTCAAATAAAACTTCAGCAAAGTAAAATCCTATTCAACCTTATAAGGATTCACTGAACACATTTTCTGGGCATCTTTTACATGACTAGCATGGGGCTCAGGCTAAAATAGTAAAATGAAACAGATGACCCATGCCAACATAAGATTTCCTTAGTTAATAAAAACACTAAGATAAATTCAAAATGTTCATATGTCTACCCTCAAATAAATGCCACCAGAATTAGATGATTTAACAGGTAAATTTTACCAAACGTATAAGCAGCAAAAAATTACTTTAGAATTTAGCCTACACCAGAACACTCAAAGAGACCGAAAGTTCAATTATTTATCAGTGGCATAACCCTAAATCCAATGAAGAAAAAAGACTTAAGGCCAATCTCAGCTATTAATACATATTTAATCTCAAATTAAAAGGGGAAAAGTTGCAAAAAGTTCAATCGGATTTTCACTGTAATCAAACAGATCTCATTCCAGGAATGGAAAAATGGTGGTTCAAGAAATAAGAGAAGCTATATTAATGTAATTTACCACCTTAACAAAAGAAAGAACACATTTGATGACTTTAATACATTATTTTTTAAAACTCAATATATAAGCAATATAAGGCAACAGGAAATCTCCTTACCTAGATTTTTAAAAAAGCATCAAAAACCTTAAAAATTAAACCTAATGGAAAAATACTAAGTATTCCCACTCAAGTCAAAACAAGACAAAGAGGTCCAATACCTCTGCTATTGGACATTGAGGTCTCAGGCAGTGCAATAAGAAAAAAACCAAACGAACAAGAAAAGCAAATTGTAATTTAAAAACAATCTATCTAAAAAAATTCAAGAGGGCCGGGAGCAGTAGCTCATGCCTGTAATCCCAGCATTTTGAGAGACCAAGGCAGGAGGATCACTTGAGGCCAGGAATTCAAAACCAGCCTGGCCAACACAGTGAAACTCTGTTTCTACTAAAAATAGAAAAAAATTGTCAGGGATGGTAGTGCGTGCCTATAATCCCAGCTACTCAGGAGGCTGTGGCAAGAGAATTGCTTGAACCCAGGAGGCGGACGTTGCAGTGAGCCGCGATCATGCCACTGCCCTCTAGCCTGGGCAACAGAATAAGACTGTCTCAAAGGAAACAAAAAAAAGAGATTCAGGCCGGGCGTGGTTGCTCACACCTGTAATCCCAAAACCTTGGGAGGCTGAGGCGGGTGGATCACAAGGTCAAGAGATCGAGACCATCTAGGCCAACATGGTGAAACCCCATCTCTACTAAAAAATACAAAAATTAGCTGAGTCTAGTGGCACGCGCCTATAGTCCCTGCTACTCAGGAGGCTGAGGCAGGAAAATTGCTTGAACCCGGGAGGTGGAGGTTGCAGTGAGTAGAGATCATATCACTGCACTCCAGCCTGGCGCCTGGTGACAGAGTAAGACCCTGTCTCAAAAACAAAAAAAAGAGAGAGAGAGAGAGAGATTCAATTGAAAAAAATTTTTTTTTGTTTGTAAACAAGGTAAATACACAAAAATCAACTCTTCCTAAACCTACAATAACCAATTAGAAAATATAACTCAAAAAATCCTATTTATAAAGGGAAAAAAAGGTAAAAATGTCACAGAATAAATAAAATATGCAATATTTAGAAGAAAATATAAAATTTTAGTGAATAATTGAATAAATGAAAGAACATACTATGTTTGTATATAGGAAAACTCAATGTTGTAAACATGTAGTTTTCTCCAATTAATTATAAATTTTACATCATGTCAATCAAAATCCCAATGGTATATATTCTTTCCGGATATATATTCTTTTCTGGAATATGTAGTCAAAACTATATTTTTAAAATAAAAACACTAGTTATTTTTCAAAGTAACTATTTTTCATAATAACATAATAAACATTTTTCTAGACTTTTAATAATACCAACATTGCACTAACAGTACAAAAGCAATGGTAAGTAAAACTTTTAGCATCTTGGTACCTAACTAATGGCACAAAAAAAGTACTAGTAGCGCTCAGTAAGTACAAATTGCACTGTACTCCTCACCACCAAACACTGGCAGAATTTAAAAAAAGAGAAAAAGAATTCATTTTTACTGAAGGCAGAGAAAAACTTAATTTTATTAAACTCCCATCATTAAGTACACATCTTTCTAATATCCTTTGTGACAAAATGAGAATTCCATATGAAGCATTTTTTGTGGTGTACCAATGCATAATAGTTATCTCAAGGAAGGGAATTATACAATTATTTAAGTTGTGAGTTTAAAAAACAACTTGTTTTTCATGAGATGCTATTTTATTCCTGAAAGAAAAACAAACAAGTTATGATTATTTAGATTTGGGTATTTGCCAAACATTTACATGTCATTTCAAGGAAAACAATTAATGATATTTGCTGTCGAGGATAAAAATCAAGCCTTCAAGAGAAAAATTAGAATTTTGGAAGACACCCACAACTGTGAGCTTAACTGATTCCCAACACTTAGATTTTTAAAATGAAATTGGATGTAATATCACTAAATGTGATTTTTAAAATATTTATATAATGAAGTGTTTCAACATTTGGGAGATCTGTATAATTCAGTGAACCACTTTTTCTAAATGACCAGTGAAAGTTACAAAATCACACCTGGGTAAAAAGTCCAAGATAGACCAATGAATTTTAATGTAACAATAGATTCACTGATACAGTTTCACAATCAATAATGCAACTATCTTTAAGAAACTAAAGTTTGTATAGTTTTGATGAAGCATCAAAACAGAATATCCACCACAGCTGATACCAGGCTTAATGATTTCCAATATCCGACTGAATAAAGAAGATACATTGGGTCCGATACTTTTTTTGTCATGTAAAAACAGGGGTCCCAAATCCTCATACCCAAACCTGTACCAGTCCATGGCCTGTTAGGAACCAGGTTGCACAGCAGGAGGTGAGCGGCAGGTGAGGGAGCATTATCACCTGAGCTCCACCTCCTGTCAGATGAGCATTGGCATTAGATTCTCAAAGGAGCGGAAATGCTACTGTGAACTGCACATGCAAGGGATCTAGGCTGCACAGTCCTAATAAGAATCTAATCCTTGATATCTGAGATGGAAAAGTTTCATCCCAAAACCATCTCTCTGCCACACCCTGCCCCCACTTCGGGGTCCATAGGAAAACTGTCTTCCACAAAACTGGTCACTGGTGCCAAAAAGGTTGGGGACTACTGATCTAAAGGAAGCTGTGTGAATAAAAACACAGGCAGTAGCAACCAGCCACGAGGATATACAAAGGACTCCTGGGGTATTTAATATGCCTTTCAGTTTATGTATGTAAATAACACATTTCACAAAGATTTTTTAATAACAAGTATTAAATGATCATTATTGTTTTAGTGTTTATTTCTTTATGTAGCAGCATCATTTAAAAATTTGTCTACTAAATCATAAAGTAATAATCATCAAGTAGTATAAGAGTCAAAGTAAAATATGATTCTAAACTCAAAAAGCACCAAGAATATACTCTCTATGTGTAACCAGACAAAAAATATTAGAGATTTCCAGGTCCAAGTCTCACTAAGAATTTATTTATTGGTACTGGTACAGTGGCTTGTGTCTGTAATCCCAACACTTTGGGAGTCTGAAGTAAGACAATCACTTGAGCCCAGGAGTTCAAGACCAGCCTGGCAACACAGTGAGACCCTATCTCTACAAAAAAATTAAAAATTAGCTGAGCATGATAGTATGTGCCTATAGTTCTGGCTAATTGGGAGGCTAGACAGAAGAATCACTTGAGCCCAGGAGTTCAATGTTACAGTGAGCTATGATCACACTACTAAATTCTAGACTGAGAAACAGAGTAAGACCCTGTCTCTTAAAAAAACAAAACAAAAACCTTATAAACATTTGCAGTGAAATTTATTCTGCTACCCAATGGTCCAAAAATATATTTCTAGAATAAAATTAGTTACAATTTTTAATACCTTTAAAGAATACCTTTAGAGGAAGGAGGTAAATTATGAAGTCATCTCACCAAAGGGCATCATATATTACAGATGAATAAACAATAAAATTAATTTTCCACAGACTAAAAGGGTACGTAAAAAATGAGCAGAATGATGTACACTCACTTCAAATTCCAATGATTTCTGGTAGCATTAACAACACTAATAATGTGTATTAAACATACTATATATAAGAAATCTAAAAGTGAATTAAAGCTCCAGGCACATGTTCTTTGTTCCCTGATAAAAGATGGCTCCCTCCTCAAATAAAAGAATTAGAAACTCCTAATACATATCCCAAGGCTAGCAGTTTGCATTCTAGGATTCTGTCACCAGTTTTCTCCATAGGACACTCAGACATGAAAATAATCAACATCCCTGTGTGTCATCTCTTTCCTAAATGGCCAGCCTGGGCAAGACTCAGTTTCTACAAAAAACTGTTTTTAAAATTAGCCAGATGTGGTGATGTGTACTGTACTCCTAGCTACTATGGAGGCTGAGGCAGGAAGATAATCTTTGCCCAGGAACTGGAGGTTGCAGTGAGCTATGATTGTGCCACCTGAGCAACTGAGCAAGACCCTGACTCTAAAAAAAAAAAAAGGTTCTGAGAGATCCTAAAAATTCAAGATTTTTCTGAAAGACTGCATCTGCTATTCTACTACAGATTTAATGACAGTAAGTATACTTAGCACAGTAACTGGCACATACTAAGTGTTCAATAAATGTTAACTGTTATTATCTATCATTACTATATTAATTTTCCTCTTAATAGTATACTTTAAAATGTCACTTTCCCACATGCTCTCCTAAAGGGCTCCCTGGACTTAATACCCAGACTTCAAGCTTAGAATGCACGCTGCATCCAGCCAGAGCTAAAGCAGCTCTCTGAAGTCCCCACAATCATCCAGGCTGCAGCTGACTCCTTTACAAAAATCCACATCTCTCCATTTACCAAAAACAAAGACCTCCCCTGAATCTTTCCAAGACTCTGTTATCTCCTTTTGCCCTCACCTACCCCTACTCATTTCCTCATACAGCCGATATTGTGACTATGAATCAGAACGTAAACCCTTTGAGCCATCTGTAACCAATACTCTCATCCCATTCTACTTTATGTTTACTTTCCTCTGATCTAATCTCCTGCTGAGGTTTCCCTTCCCAAACCTTTAACTTGCCCACTGGAATCCAGTCTCCCAATTAATAACTTACCTCTGTTACGAAATTTTCCTTTTACCTCTACATGTTACCTAAAACCAAGTTTCTTTCTAAAGCCAACTCTCCTTCTACACTAAGTCCCATCAAAGTCCCTAAAATACTACATGTAAGAAGGCCATGTAAACAGAAGCTTTATAAATATAAGTATAAAAATGTAAAAAACAGATACCCAAAATGAAATAATTTCTTCCATAAATGTACTCCTAAATTAAAACCACAGGTCCACAAACTAGAACAGAACTCAGGAAAATATCCAATATAGCATTAACATCCTCATTTTACACAAAAGGTAACTTAGGAAACTAAAATTTACCTGAAGGAAGGCAGTCCAATGATGCCAGTTCAGCTTTGCTGGTACTCTGAATTATCCACAACAGATCTTAAAACTTAACCCCTGACACACAGTAGAAATGTGGGCTATTTTCCTTGTTAACAATTTATGACCAAACTTACCTCAATTTGCATTAAGCAAAATGTAATGAATAAGCTATATTCATTATAAATGAAAAGGATTATAGTTACATGTCAATAAACAATTTGGAGATTATTTGCCATTGTGTTAGCCTTGCTTCTGTCCCTCTCCATTACTATGAATTGAAGGCTGACTAAATTTAGAAATTGTGCCATTTAAGCATTAACTTGATTTTTAAATAAAGCAAGATCTATCAAACATGTCACTACAGAACATAGATGTAAAGTACTCAAAAGACTTTTTTTTTCTTTTAAGACAAATTCTAACAATTTACCCCAACCAAATAAACATCTCTGCTAAATTGCCACCAAAAGAAAGCAATACATCATTCAAGTCCTTTACTGGAATAACTTTTGAAGAAAACATGACAAACTAAAAATACTGATCTAACGTATGTCCTCTTAGTTCCATTGTTTTCCTTGTATTACTTTCAAAAAAAAGTTCTTAAGGGAATGCTGGGAAAGGTTTGGAAAGCAAACACACTGCTGACTGGTATTAACATCTTTTAAGAGAAAAGTAAGACATACTTAGTTATCTAAATATTAATATTCTAGATAGAAAATGAGCTAACAAGTGTCACTATTATTTAGAAAGCTCCAACTGAAATTTTCCCTAAATACCATAAAACTAAACCTAGGTCAAGTAAAAGACATCATTATACCCTATAATTAAAAGGCTGATGGGAGAAACTGGTGGCTGTTGATATTCTCAGTTAAACGGGGAGAATAAGTTCGGGAGATCTGTACAGAATGGTGACTATAGTAATAATAACTAAAAATTGTTCAGAGTGGATCTTAAATGTTCTCACCACAAAAATATAGCAAGTATGTGAGGTGAGGGGTATATTAATTAGCTTTATTTAATAATTTCACAATGTACTCATATGTCAAAACATCATGTTGTAAACCATAAATATATATAATTATTATATGTCAATTATACCTTAATAAAGCTGGGGGGAATTTTTAAGTGCACATATCCACATACTCGGCAACAACAACAAAAAAAAAGGTTTTTAGGAACTGCTATGTCTAAGTATTGATGAAAACAGTACTCAGTACAAAAGAAGAAATAACTGAAAGTTAAATTTATTTTTAAAATTTGCTTGCTCATAAATTCTGATAAGAAAACAGAATATAGGTTTTTATTTATAACTATTTATTATAACAACAGAAATTTATAATTACTACAAAACAAAGTGACATATTGGAATCCAATTGTTCCAAAAACAGTTTCTGCATACATGCAGTCCTTCTTAAGACCGCAAATATTTTTTGGCCCAACAGAACTATCTGAGTCCCACCGTTCAGTGGCAACTCTTGATAGATTGGCAAACAATGACTATGTTTGTTCAAAAAGAGTAATTATTCTCCCAAATCGAAATGTGAAATCTTGCTTTTATTATTATTCTTTAAGGTATCTAACTCACTTTAATTCCTACTTTAATATATTTTGAAAAGTATGCACCATAGTTATAAATTAGAAAATTTAAGTCTTCAACTTTCCTACCTTCTAAATAATAAATCCTTTTTTTTGTTTTGTTTTGTTTTTATACTGATGGGGTGTCACCATGTTGGCCAGGCTGGTCTCAAACTCCTGACCTCAGGTGATCTACCCATCTCAGCCACCCAAAGTGCTGGGATTACAGGTATGAGCCACGGCACCCGGCCAATAAATCCTAAAGGAAATGAAATCATGTGAAAAATATGACTTTTGAGAATGCATTATACTTTTTTTTTTATCAGTCTTTGTAGAGACTGTCAAAAATTGCTAATGCCGACTATATTGCAAGTCGTCACGGCGAGATCTTGGGAAAAGTTTTCAATTAGCAATAACCGTGCCTCAGATAAACCTCATTGGCTATGATACTGCCACTGTGCAAAGCCGCATTATACTTTCTTAAGCTAAAATACTTGCTAAATAAATACTTGCCTTAAGGTATTATTTTTGAAACAGTGATTTGCAACCTATTGATGGGTCATGAAATCAATTTAAAAGGTTTGACCAGCAAAAAATAAAATAAAATAAAAAGGAACATAACAGATTATAACCATAATATACTACCTTAAAGATTTCATCAGTATTTGGTTTTAAAATATTATTGTTTTAGTATAAGTGATAAACTTTCCATAAAATTAAGGCAATCAAATCACTAGATCCCATAAAATCTAAGAAAACTTTCAAATGGGAAAACATTTGGAAAAGATTTCCACTTGAAATAACTGCCACTTCATAATGGATTTATATAAAGCAGGAGTCAGTGCACTTCTCCCGTAAAGGGCTAAAGAGTAAATTTAGGGGGCTCTATGGGCTATGTGGTCTCTTGTAATTCAAGTCTACTTCTACAGCACAAAAGGAGACACAGACATTATGTAAACAAACCAGTGCAGGAATGTTCCCATAAAATTTTATTAAAAAAAAAATAACAAGAGGCCTGCAAGATTTGGTCTATGGGCTATAGTTTGCTGAATGATGATATCAAGAATTTGTTTCTATTCCAGAATGCTAAAACCTTACCTATTTTAATGAATCGACAAGGAAACATCTGTTCATCAATTTTATGCTTCAAGGTGAATGTTTCTTTGTTATAGTCATTCTTTAAGCCACTGTGGGGAAAAAATAAGGCTATTAAATCTGACTTCATAATTTAGAAAATACACTAGAACACAAAGTAATGTCATACTCGGGTTTTAAGTTTAATTCAATGCTCAAAATATATGACCAAGACAATATAAATGAGTAGTTGAACACAGGCATATGGGCCAAAACTGGTACATTCAAATCAACAGCTTTATTAATGGACTCTCTCAATTATATGAGAATTAATAAAAAATGTTCAGTATTATAAAGAATGTAGCTACAGTGTATGGAAATGTGTGACAAGGCCTAGTGTTCTGAATGGATAACTGAATATAGCATAAAATTTTCAAATGGTAACAAGGAAATTCAAAAACAATTCACACTCAAATCTGACAACTTAAACAAAATCAAGTACTAGAATTTGCCAAAGAATTTAGTTATTTAATTCCGACTGAGATGTCAATGTTTCCTTTACGGTTGAACAAATTTTCAAAGCCAAGCTTACTCTGTTGGTTTAATAGCATCCGCTTTATCCTGAATAAAAATAAACTCATATCACCTCTCTATTTAAACAACTAGGGTTGACATAAGGATCTATGGGAAAGTCACTTACCATCAGGTTGCTTTATATTTCCTGAAATACTTTCATGACTTATATCAAATACAGTATAGAATATTTGCTTATATAAAATATTATGGTAATGGGCCATACCATGCTACAAATATAAATATATATGTGTATGTGTGTGTGTGTGTGTATTTTTTTAGGCAAAGTCTCCTTGTGTCACCCAGGCTGGAGAGTGCAACAGTGCAATCTTGGCTCACTACAACCTCCACCTCCAGGTTCAAGTGATTCTCCTGCCTCAGCCTCCCAAGTAGCTGGGACTACAAGCACCCCCAACCATGCCCAGCTAATTTTTGTATTCTTAGTACACAGGGTTTCACTGTGTTGGTCAGGCTGGTCTTGAACTCCTGACCCTGTGATCTACCTGCCTTGGCCTCCCAAAGTGCTGGGATTACAGGCACGAGCCACTGTGCCCAGCCATCACAAATACATTCTGAATCTCCATGGTTTCATTTGTCCATTCCATTAGCTATCTGATTTTTCATTTGCTGGGTAGCAAATTAACACCTTGATTCCCAGTGGTCTAATACCATTAAAACTCAAATTTACTGAGCTCCTTCCATGTGACAGTCACTGTGCTTGCTGTAGTCATGCATCTTTCAATTTATGGAAGATTTCTCTTTTTAGTCTCCAACTTACAGTAAACCACTACAATACTGCTTCTGGAACAGGGCAATTAATCTTAGTGTTTTGGGTAAAGCCTGTATTTTTTTATAGCAAAGATTGTAACAAAAAATTTTATTAAAGCTGAAAATACTTCTGAAGTCATTAACAGCTCAAAAACTAGGAAACAAAAAAAAGTTTAATTCTTCTCTGGTAAAAATATTAACTAGGGTCTGGTCTGGTGGTTAAAAAAAAAGAGAAAGCTAACTCAAGCCACAGTATTAAACTAAGGTATTAGGAATAGAATAGAAAGAATACTTTTTTCTCCTCTGAAAGAAAAACCAAACCATGCAGATTAGCTACAAAAAGACTAAACTAAGACTACGTTTTGTTTAGAAGACAACTTTCTTACCTATAACCATAACTCACCTGGACAACAGCTCTGTCATATTTTCTTCATTCATTCCACCAAAGACTTTAAATTTTTTCAAATTGCAAACATGAGTTTTCTCATATTTTCCAAATGTGATATTCTGAACTATAGCAGGCCTTTCCAGCTTTAGAATCAAGTACTAAAGAAAAAGAAACAACCAAATTATATCCTCTTCTGATTAAAACACATTTAAACAATTTAAAAACTATTGCCAGTTAACAGAAGACTGTATAAGGTCCATCTTTGTCCATCCTGTACTAGATTTTTAAAAAAGCTATATAATAGTACATAACAGCCTTATAAAGATTATCCCATCATAAACACTTTTCACTCCAGTAGATCTCAGAAACTACATTATCCCCAACACTGGAGGTAAAGGGGAAAAAAAAGAACTAGTGAGATAAATTCTAATCAAGGAATGGTATTCAATGAAAGATATAACCAGACTATGGAAAACCAAATAAAATGAGATTACAATATAAAAATAACAATTACATATTACTATGGACTCTACTTCAATAACTAAATCAATATTTGAAACCAGCTCTAAAATGTTTAGATCTAGAAGCAAACAAAGATTTACTAATCAACCCTGCTAAGTTTATGAATCATTTAAAACCCCAATCTACTCTAGATATGTCTAATGTAACTTGTTTTCCTACTGGAGAACAATTTATATTATGTAGACTGTTCTCAATTATAAAAATTAAGAAGAAAATTACCACTGCTTGAATACATGCTGGAAAAGCTATTCAGAACAACAATTCAGATGTTTTGTTGGAGAGACGTCATACTTCATGATAATGGATAATACAGATGGTAAAGATGCTAAGAATAAACCTGCTGGCCCTGCCTCTTATCATACACAAAAATTAATTCAAGATAGATCAAAACTGATCTAACACCAATCTTTTAGGACTGAAGACAACCTGGCCGGGCACAGTGGCTCACACCTGTAATCCCAGCACTTTGGGAGGCCGAGGCAGGCAGATCACGAGGTCAGAAGTTTGAGACCAGCCGAGCCAACATGGTAAAATCCCATCTCTACTAAAAATATGAAAATTAGCCGAGCGTGGTGGCAGGCACCTGTAATCCCAGCTACTGACGAGGCCGAGGCAGGAGAATTGCTTGAACCCCAGAGGCAGAGGTTACAGTGAGCAAGATTGCGCCACTACCCTCCAGCTTGGGTGACAGAGCAAGGCTGTCTCAGGGGAAAAAAGGACTAAAGATTGAAATGTAAGAGCTGAAACTTTAAATAACTCAGACAAAAACTTAGGACAAATCTTCATGACTTCAGATTTGGCAATGGATTCTTAGATATGATAGCAAAAGTACAAACAAAATAAAATAAAACTGGATTTTGCCAAAACTAAAACCTTAGTATATCAAAGGATACCATCAAGAAAGTGAAAAAGTAGAATGGGAGAAAATATTTGCAAATCATTTGTCTATTAAGAGTCTGGTATCTGGAAAAAAATATATATATACACTTACAATTTAAACACTTACAATTTAACATCAAAATTACAAACAATCCAGTTTAAAAATAGACAAAGGACCTGAATAGCCCTTTCTTCAAAGAAAGTAAACAAATGGCCAAGAGACACATGAAAAGATGATTAACATTATTAGTTACCAGGAAAATGTAAACGAAACCACAAAATACTGCATCACATTCACTAGCATGGCAATAATAATAATAATTTAAAAATGCAAAACAAGGGTTGACAAAGAAGTAAGGCAACTGGAACTGTCACGCGTTGCTGGCAGGAATGTAAAATGGTACACATACTGTTGGAAATCATTTGGCAGTGTCTCAAAAAGTTAACCATAGAATTACTACATGGCCAGGTGCGGTGGTTCACGCCTATGATCCCAGCACTTTGGGAGGCCAAGGCGGGTGGATCACAAGGTAAGGAGATCGAGACCATCCTGGTCAACAAGGTGAAACCCCGTCTCTACTAAAAATACAAAAATTAGTTGGGCATGGTGGCGTGCGCCTGTAGTCCCAGCTACTCGGGAGGCTGAGGCAGGAGAATTGCTTGAACCCAGGAGGCGGAGGTTGCGGTGAGCCGAGATCGTGCCACTGCACTCCAGTCTGGGTAACGACAGCAAAACTCCGTCTCAAAAAAAAAAAAAGAATTACCATATGACCAAGAACTTCCACTCCTAGGTATAAACCCAAATAAAGTGAAAAAAAGGTATTCACACAAACAGTTGTACATGAATGTTCACAGAGGTACTATTCACAATAGCCAAAAGGTGGAAGCAACGCAAATGTCCGTCAACTGATGAATGGCCAAACTAAAGTATTTCCATGCAATGTAGTATTCCACCATAAGAAGGAATGCATACCCAAACACACTACAACCTGGATTAATCTCAAAAATATATTAACTGAAAGTAGTCAGATATAAAAAGTATCTGACTCACCCAGAACAAGTAAATGCATAGAGGCATGAAGCAGATTAGTGGTTGTCAAAAGCTGGGCTGAGATCGAAAAGGAGATACTCCTTACTAGGTATGAAGTTTCTTTGTAGATGATGAAAATATTTTGGAACTAGAAGGAGATGATAGTTGCTCAATTCTGTAAATGCACTAAATGTCATTGAATTATACACTTTAAAATGGCTAACTTTATATTATGTGTGAATTTTACCTCAGTAAAAAAAGAATTAAGCTGGTGGTGATAAGAATGGCAATGATAATAACACTAATATTTTGTGAGCACTAACTTCTCATTTGGCACACTGCTCAGACTTATACATGCATTACACTACTCTCTTTATCCTAATTTTACAGATGAAGAAATATAATTTCACAGCTAATAAATGATAGAGTTTTAGATAAAAAAAAAAATCCGTCATCTGCCTCTGGCTTACACTGTTGGCTGGCTGACCCAACTTCCATTCCCAGCCCAGTTCTTCCTAGCCACCTTCCAGGCAAGGGTGGACATATCACAGAGTTCAATGAGATGCAAGCAGAAGTTTGTAATGGGTTAAGTTTCAGTTTCTGAAACAAATGCTACCTCTTCTTCTGCCTCTGTTATATGAACCATTACAACTGCAACAATCACTGTGCAACCATGAAATGACCAAGATAATCTCAAAGATAACAATCATTAGTGAGCCACTCAACTCTCATCAGCAGCCTATTTCCAGTTTTATTTTTTCATTCACAGCCACTTTAATCTGTATAAATTCCAGATATATTAGATGTACATATTTCACTAAGTTTATCCACAAGATACAGACTTAAAAAATATTCATGATACTGTTATATACCAGAAAAAAAAAAATAAGAGAAGCTCCTTAACATAATGGCATCAAAAATCTGGTCAGTGTTCACAAATCCACAACTAATAAAAAAAATGTTTTTTCTAGTTTCAAGTCCAAATAAAGCTCATGAATTATGATTGGTTAGTATATCTCTTAAGTAACTTTTAATTCATTGGTATCTCTCAATTGCATTTTTCCACCTTTAAATTTTTTGCTGAAGAAACTGGGTTGTCCTTAAAACTTTCCCATAGTCTGGGTTTTGCTGACTATACCCCAGTCCCAATGTTTATTTTCTGTAAATTAGAAATTCAGACTTCTCTAGTTTTCTTATGTAGGGAACAAAAACCAAAAAACCTATTTGTTTAATCCACTGTAACAGAACCTGTTAGTTGGAGCTAAAAGCGTTTCTACTGATTCACTAACTGTAGCTGACCAAAGTTTTAACCACTACTTTTCAAAGACTGTTTACGTTTATATACCATTTACACTCTAAGTAGCTATTAAAACTTCCTTATTATAGACACTGCCATAGGAAAACTGAAATTGATAATCTTTAGTCATTAACCTTCTTTATCCCTATCAAATTAATAGGTGTAGTAATGTGTCTTTTGGTAATTCAAAGTTTCTTTAAGAATACAACTGCATATTGAACAGATGATGTAGGTAGATATTCACATTCTTTATCTTTGCATATTGAACAGATGATATAGATAGATATTCACATCTTTCTTTCTTATTAACTCACACTCCATCCCACTGCCATATCACCCTTTCTCTTGCTCTTCAGTCATCCTTACGTCTTAGATATCACCTTTCCCTGACAATTAGTTAGGTGTAGCCTTGTAACTCCAACGGTAAAAATGGGCCTTTATATAAATTGTAATACACAATCCATTATCCCATACACTAAACCCCTAAAACCAATGGAAAGCATCTGTTTGTACATTTATAGCAGCATTAATAACAAAATATCAACAGAATTTTTATTAAAAATAAAATAAATATCTAGAATATCTAAAGTAAAACACACTGGTCTAACTGAATAATCTTTTAGGTAAATTTTTTAATGTTTTAACCACATTTTAACTTTATTAAGTTTTTCAACTTTCATTTTTCCCAATTCTTCCTTATTTTATTTTTTTTTTAAAAGTTTCTCATTCTGTTGCCAAGGCTGGAGTGCAGTGGTGAGATAGGGTATATTAGTTTCCTCAGGTTTCCACAACAAATTATAATAAATTGATGGCTTAAAACAACACAAATTTAATTTTTCATAGTTTTGGAGGACAGAAATCTGAAATCACAGTGTCAGCAGTACCATGCTCCCTTCAAAGGATCTCAGAAAGGATCCTTCTTTGCTTCTTCCATATTTGGTAGCTCTTGATTTTTTTTAGCTTGTGACAGCCTAACTCTTATCTCTGCCACCCATCTTCACATAGCTTTCTTCCCTGTGTCTTTGTCTTTTCTGTGTCTAGTAAAGACACTCATCACTGGATCCAGAGGCCATCCTAATCAAAGATGCTCTCACCTTGAAATCCCTACCTTAATTATATTTACTAACACTTTATTCCAAATAAGGTCACATTCTGAGATGTCACATATCTTGGTAGGGGTAGGGGTGGAGAGAGAGACCATTCAATCTACTACACAGAGCCAGCCAGGCCAAAAAAAAAAAAAAGCAGTCAATGCTTATAAAAATTAGTTCCAGGTACTGCTGTTAAAATGCTAGTGTGGTTGCAGCCTAGGAGACAGGGCAGAAAATGGTATATGTTGAGAATGAAGAGGCAGGCAGTCACCAGATTAGGCAGTTTGTGCAATTACATGGGGTTTGAATTATAAATGCAACAGGATCTATTAAGCACAA